AATTAATTACTTTTGAAAATAAGTAATCAGTAAAGTAACGGGATTACTTTTTGGGGAAGTAATCAGTAATTAGTTACTGATTACCTTTTTCAAGTAACTTGACCAACACTGGTGACGAATGCTGGCCCTCTGTGATTTTGTTTGCCTGGGTCCCCAACAGACTCGAGAGCTGCCACTGACTGATTAAGATTGTAATAGAGTTTTATTTGTGTAAATGAGAAAAATACACATCCAGCAGATTATAGCAAAAGTTTATTGAATGAAATTTCTGTATTATGCAAATATATGAATCAATTACTCCCCATTAAATGTTATTTCCTCTCAGACAGAATGGGTTATCTGCTTGCAAAGGAAATAGGAAAGCAGTGAGAGAGGGAGACATGCTTAATGCAGAACTTTGACAATATTTTTGTTCTTTAAAAGGCTGAATTTTTCACATTAGCATTTTGGGGACTGCTTGGAAGTGAGCAAACACAGGCAATTTAAAAGCTCAAGCACCAATTAGGGAATAAGCTTGTTGTGCGAGCTGCCTTTGATGGAATACAACCCATTTTATGAGCCATGGGAAGATGGGAAAAGTGTGCACACAAGCTCGGGGACCAGCACACATGCAAAACAAGAAGGAAGACCATTTTCTGATTGTCTAATATGAATAATTTCCCCCTCTTAGTGTTTACTTTTTGTTTCACCAATTCCATTAAAATAGTCTTTTACAAAAACATCTCAACTTTCAGTTAACAGAACAAAAAACAGTCAAATACGAAAAACAGAATTAGACTGATTGTGTTTGCGCTTATGCAAATAGACGTCTATGTGTGTGCACCTGAGTCGAAATACAAAGAGATAAGAATGAAAGTGCAACAGTAACAAACCAGTGGTGGCTTTGTTATGGATGCAGTTCTCATCCATTTGATAACATTGTCCCACACATCTGTGAAATATATACAGTGCACACTTCACTTTGTCTGAAACCATCTGAATTGTTGAGGTTTAAGGAGGAAAAAAACACAGACAGTCACGTGAAAAGGAACATTTCCACAGGACTGCAGCGTCACACCTTGATTCACTAATATTTGAAGTCATATGTTATGGTTATACCTCTCTGACCTGTCTACCCCACGTGATGCTGTGTAATGTATGTATGGTCGGAAGGGTAAGACGGCGTTGGCAAAGGTCGGCAGCCTTAACCCAATTTCCTTCGGGGTCAACCTTCAGGATCGATAAAGTTTTATTGAATTGAATTGAACTGAATGTTTCTTAATGACGTCATTGCGGAGGAGTTTGAATGCACTCTTTACAAAGATGCCTCAGTTCAGTCAGGTTGAGCTCTGGGCTTTAACTGGAGCATTGCAACAGTTTTTTTCAGGCATCCTGCTGGAGATTTGCAGGTGTGCTTGGGATCGTTGTCCTGTTGCATGACCCAGTTTCAGCTAAGCTTTAACTGTTAGACAGATGGCCTCACATTTGACTCTAGAATATTTTTTTACACAAACAGTCAACTCAGTGACTGCAAGCTGCCAGGTCCTGTGACTAAAGTCAAGTTTATTACCTCTCCAACACCATGCTGACAGTTGGTGTGAGGTATTTGTGCTCATATGCTGTGTTTGGTTTTCTCCATATGTGGTGCTATGCATTATAGCAAAGTCTGAGATGTAATTTTGGGGCTTTTTGAGGTTTCTCTGAGTATTACACAGTCTGACCTTTGAGTAACAGTCAAAAAAACATCAGAAGATTCAACGATTCAAGAAAATCTTTCTTGTCTTATTGCAAGTCTTCTTCTTTGATCTTGAACAACAAGGTGCTGCTGCTGAGACAGGAAAACAGACCATGGCCCTTTAACTATGAGACAAAACTGTATACATGTGAAGAAAAACATCAAAATTGTAATAAGTGTCAAACAGAAGCAGTGGGACCAACAGCCTACAAATACATACTGTGCCAGTCTAAAGACAAATGTTTTATCTCTGCTTTCAGATCAGGTCGTTCCATGTTCAGCATGCAGCTCTGTTACTTAGATCTGTCGAGGTCTGGTTGCACGTTTGTGAATCTTCGATGTTTATGTCAGTGGCAATGCTAACATACAGCCCTGATTCCTTGTAACTGGGTCAATGAGGTAAATCTTACTAATCAGGCTCGTGTAGGTAAATGAGGTCTGATTTAGGACCGAGTCGGAGGAATACAAAATCAAACTTTGAATGTTCACATATGCCGGCTCCTGACAGGCACGTCTGCATGGTGCATGCATGAATAAAAAATAAAGGCATCCTGTTCCCCTGACTAATCAAAGGCAATATAGAAGATCAGGCTTTTGTTTGTACTGGACAAGTACGTGGGTAGAAGTAAATCAATACAAAAACAGAGAGATAAGGAAAAACGAATGGAGGCAGTACTTTGAGGAAAAATCAAACATTGCAGGTTACGTATGTGAATAATACCACGGACACCGATGTCCTTGCGCTCCTAATCTGCCAAACTTTAATCCATCCCC